TTATTTTCTTGGAAGGAATGACATTTACCAAAATCAATCTTATCTTAACAAGGACTAGCCCCGCCCACCCCCCTCTTCTCATTTTAACGACTATTTTTATTTCTGGTCAATACAAGAACATTCATATCATTCAGACCGAATAAAATCAATCACTGAAAAGGAGACAGGCTGGGTGGGCGGGGCTAATTATATCTTTCTGTCGAGTAGGAGTGGAAACTAATAATAGAATTTAGAATGTGAAAAAGTAAAAAATAGCGCTAATTGTAACTTGTTTTGTTATAATATTTGCTACAAAATTGATTTCTTTTTCATGCACCTGACCTAAGTTCAACGAATTTTCGGACATAGCAGAAAAATGGTCGAAAATGTCAAACTTGCCAAAATCAGTCTTATCCTATCAAATACTAGCCCGGCCCGCCCACCCTCTATTTTCTAAGAAGGTATGTCATTTACCAAAGTTAGTCTTACTTACTTACTTACTTTATTGACGGAAAAATATCCTTAAACAATACAAAGAAAAAATAATAAAATCACATGAGAATGTTACAATATTTTTAAAATAAGATTTGCCTTAACTTAGTTTGAAATTTAGGAAAAGTATCTGAATAAAAATCAATTCTGCTATAAATAGAATTACAAGTAAATAATATATTATTAAGTGGTGAAAACAACAAATAATTTGTATAATTGAATTTAATGTAGAACAAGGGAGCTTGTCTAACATTGAACTGAGGAACATAGAAGTTAATAGAATTAAGAATGTCAGAATCGCACATATTGTTTAAAAGTTTATACATAAAACAAATTTTGTAAAAATCACGACGTACACTTAATAAAGACAAACCCAAATAAGATTTACTAAGACTAGTAGAATGAGAGACCTTAAGTGGTAATTTGAACAAAATAGATTTGACAAACTTATTTTGAATGCGTTCAATTCTATTCTTATGTATCTGATATATAGGATCCCACAGTATGCACCCATATTCCAAAACTGAACGGACCAATGATGAATATAATACTAGACAAGTACGAATATCATTAAAATCATGACAGTATCTCTTTATACACCCTAATACTTTATTAGCTTTTGAAACAATATATTCGCAATGCAAGACAAAGGATAATTTGCTGTCTAAAATGATACCAAGGTCTTTTACGGAAGAAACAACTTTTAAGGAATTGTTGTCAATAGCATAACACGGAATTGATGCCAGAATTTTACGACTAAAACATATTACTTGACATTTACTATAATTTAATTTCATTAAGTTATCCTTACACCACAATGAGAGAGAATCTAAGTCGCTTTGCAGTAAAAACATATCGTTACTATCCCTAATAGTTTTAAATATTTTTAAATCATCAGCAAACAGGCTAAAATTACATTTGAGTATATTAGACACATCATTTATATAAATGGAAAAGAGCAAAGGCCCGAGAATTGACCCCAGAGGTAATAATCTGCGAAGACGAGAAGCAATTTTTGAATTTCACAATCTGAGATCGATTATCAAGGTAACTAGTAAACCATAGAAGTCGTATCTTAGCAAATATTAGCCCCCCCCACCGACCCTTTATTTTCTTGGAAGAAATGACATTTGCCAAAGTCAATCTTATCTTAACAAGGTCTAGCTCCAGTCCCGCCTACCCCCTTCCCTCCTTCTCATTTTAACGACTATTTTGATTTCAGTTCAGTGTATAAGAACATTAATTTCATTCAGATCGAATAAAATCAATCACTGAAAACGAGACAGGGTGGGTGGGCGGGGCTAATTATGTTCTTAAGTAAAAAACGGCACTAATCCTAACTTTTTTGTCATACTCTTTGATACAAAGTTGATTTCTTATTTCATGCATCCAATCTAACTTCAACTAATTTTCGGATATAGTTGAAAAATGATCGAAAACATCAAAAGTGCCAAAATCAGTCTTATCTATGAAATACCAGCCCCGCCCGTCCATCCTTTATTTGTTTGTCATTTGCCAAAGTTGGTCTTATCTTAGCAAATATTAGCCCCGCCCACCCACCCTTTATTTTCTTGGAAGAAATGACATTTGCCAAAGTCAATCTTATCTTAACAAGGTCTAGCTCCAGTCCCGCCTACCCCCTTCCCTCCTTCTCATTTTAACGACTATTTTGATTTCAGTTCAGTGTAAGAACATTCATTTCATTCAGATCGAATAAAATCAATCACTGAAAACGAGACAGGGTGGGTGGGAGGGGCTAATTATGTTCTTAAGTAAAAAACGGCACTAATCGTAACTTTTTTGTCATACTCTTTGCTACAAAATTGATTTCTTATTTCATGCATCCAATCTAACTTCAACTAATTATCGGATATAGTTGAAAAATGATCGAAAACATCAAAAGTGCCAAAATCAGTCTTATCCTATGAAATACTAGCCCCGCCCGTCCATCCTTTATTTGTTTGTCATTTGCCAAAGTTGGTCTTATCTTAGCAAATATTAGCCCCGCCCACCCACCCTTTATTTTCTTGGAAGAAATGACATTTGCCAAAGTCAATCTTATCTTAACAAGGTCTAGCTCCAGTCCCGCCTACCCCCTTCCCTCCTTCTCATTTTAACGACTATTTTGATTTCAGTTCAGTGTAAGAACATTCATTTCATTCAGATCGAATAAAATCAATCACTGAAAACGAGACAGGGTGGGTGGGAGGGGCTAATTATGTTCTTAAGTAAAAAACGGCACTAATCGTAACTTTTTTGTCATACTCTTTGCTACAAAATTGATTTCTTATTTCATGCATCCAATCTAACTTCAACTAATTATTATCGGATATAGTTGAAAAATGATCGAAAACATCAAAAGTGCCAAAATCAGTCTTATCCTATGAAATACTAGCCCCGCCCGTCCATCCTTTATTTGTTTGTCATTTGCCAAAGTTGGTCTTATCTTAGCAAATATTAGCCCCGCCCACCCACACTTTATTTTCTTGGAAGAAATGACATTTGCCAAAATCAATCTTTTCTTAACAAGGTCTAGCTCCAGTCCCGCCTACCCCCTTCCCTCCTTCTCATTTTAACGACTATTTTGATTTCAGTTCAGTTTAAGAACATTCATTTCATTCAGATCGAATAAAATCAATCACTGAAAACGAGACAGGGCGGGTGGGCGGGGCTAATTATGTTCTTAAGTAAAAAACGGCACCAATCGTAACTTTTTTATCACGCTTTTATTAGCTTGGGTTGTATGTAACGGAATCTTTGAGCTTAATTTTCATCGGTTTCTAAAAGTCTGATCATCTTGAAACTTTGCACACGTCTCAAGGATCGATGACAATGCAATAATTTGATAACAGTTTCCCATTATCCTTATTAGGACCGCCAGGATTTATAAATTCTTTTATGGATCCTGTGTAGTGGAGTAAAAGAGATAAAGCTAGCGCGCGATCTGCGCATGCCTGTAGTATCTGGTTTACTCTTCGTTGTAATAATTATAGTCTTGATTAAAATACAAATAACGGATATTAAATGAAAAAAACAAAAACGGACTTTTAATTAACTAAACGTGTGCAAATAAAATGGCTGATCGCATCTTAATTGTGTCAGTATATACCACGGTTATCTCTCTCCGTGTCGATTATACCGATCTATACCGATTATTTCTGTTTCAAGGACAATTTCTGCATAGCTTTGGTTTTACAGTCGGTAAAGAAGGAATTAATTATAATTAAAACATATCTAATCATGAATTCTCACCAACTTAAATAAAGATAACAAATTTTGATTCAGAAATACAAACATGGAGGAAAATTAACTATTTGGGGGGTAAAACTAACCACAATGATGAATTGTGTCCCGTTGGTCCGTGAGGGCGATTGATTTCGAACTAATTCCCGTTGATCGATCATACGGAGACCACTGAGTGGTTCTTTCTAGAAAAATCTAAATAAGTAATTAATTCCCCAATTTATGAATTTGTCGCAGACTAAAAAATGAAAAATAAATAATAGTTTAAAAAACTAAAAAAACACGCTTTTATTGCTAATCGAACTAAAAACTAGAAAATAATTTTTAATGACAGAGTTTAATATTACAGTAGTAGAAGATCAAACAATCAATCATAATAAATCACCTCAAATTAAAATTATAATAAAATTTAAGTTATTAACAGAATAATTCAATTCAGAGTAAAAAGCGTGGGGTGCATTTTACTGCGGTTCATAACTATCCTCTCATAGATAGTTGCCAATAGAATGATTGTAATATTTAAAATATCAAGCACCCCACGCTTTTTACTCTGAATTGAATTATTCTGTTAATAACTTAAATTTTATTATAATTTTAATTTGAGGTGATTTATTATGATTGATTGTTTGATCTTCTACTACTGTAATATTAAACTCTGTCATTAAAAATTATTTTCTAGTTTTTAGTTCGATTAGCAATAAAAGCGTGTTTTTTTAGTTTTTTAAACTATTATTTATTGTCATACTCTTTAATACAAAATTGATTTCTTATTTCATGCATCCAATCTAACTTCAACTAATTTTATCAAAAGTGCCAAAATCAGTCTTATCCTATGAAATACTAGCCCCGCCCGTCCAGCCTTTATTTGTTTGGGGGGTATGTCATTTGCCAAAAGTGGTCTTATCTTAGCAAATATTAGCGATGTAACTAATGATCGACATTACAAAGAAGCTTATAAAAATAGGGGTCGAAAAGGGGAAACTCGCTAAAGATTACAAGCTGGTAGCTCACAACCAAACATATGCTACTAAGTATAAGCCCTGGCCCACATTTTGACCCCGCGAGGTATTTTGATTTGTAGATCTGTTATTTGTGACGTTCTGTTTTATCAGATTTTATTGTGATTGCTTGTTAGTATAGAATAAAAGTGCTGTAAACGTACCAGAATTGTAAATTGGTAGATGAAATCACATTTTTAGTTAAAAATTTAGTTTTTATTTTTAGGAATGGATATTGATTGTAATTAAGTTTTTGTTAATGTAAAACATGACAAAAACTTCAAAAACTGCGCAATTATTATTTAAAATTTCAGTAACAGCAACGATTTAATTGATCCAAAAATACAACAGACATGATAAACTTTAACATTGCAAGTGATAATTAATAAAATCTCATATAAAAACATTTCGAGCAGTCTGTCACTGCGGTAGTCGAAGTCCCGATGGCTTTGTTAAATTCACCGTCCCAGGATAATGGTAAGTTTTGTGACCACCAGAAATTGATAGAAATCTTGTTTTGGATATTTTAGCACTTAAATATTTCAGTTTTAGAATGTGAAAATGGTCTGCCTACTGCATCCAAGCAAGCGTCCGACAAATGGACCTCAATAGCTGCAGCACTCGTAGTTGCACTAATAGTAGGTGTTCTTGTCGGACTGCTCTGTTACTACTGGGACTCGATAAATCTATTTTCGGATAATAAAGACGGTGAGAGTGGTGAAGATGATGACAACGAGTTACTAATATTCACACTATTCAAATTGTTGAAATCAGTAGAGTGATTGTTTTTGTTATTGTTTTATTATTTTATTTTAACTTGTTTTACTTGCTTCAGCTTTGATGTATTAATTTTCGTATGTATAGAATAACAAATAAAATTTTAATAAATTGGTCGAAAGTTACTTCCACAGGACTTTCCTGGTCCCTAAAATACAGTCCAACAAATCCCGTTTTTTTGATGTAAAATATCAAAAATTTGTAGTCACCTTTCTTTGCAAACATATTAGGCAAAAGTTCGATGAGATACAGCACTCATCATAATTTGTCTGATAATTCCCATCAATGATTTGATGACGTCAGATCATTTGTCATCCAACTTCGAAAATTATTTTTGCTTCATTTCGTCGAAAAATCCTACCATTTTTCCAAAATCGCCAACTGAGAAATTTTAGAATTTAAAAAAAAATTGACGTTCAAACCCAATATTTTCAAAATTTTGGTCAGGGACCATAAACACGTCACATTTTTCAAATGGGCACGTCCAGATCTATATTACAGAATTTTTTATGGACTTTTAACCCACTTTTTCGAAAGCTCAATTTTTCAAAATGTGAAATTTTTGGCAATTTTTCGACCACCTCCAAAAATTAGCTAAGACATTTTTTGAAGAATTCAGCACCTAGAAGTGATCTTAGGCTTCATTTCTTAGAAAATTTCAACCATTTTTAGGATTACTAAAAAAATTTGGTTTTCACGCCGAATATTTCGAAAATCTTTTTTCTAGAACAATAAAATCTTCATATTTTTCGACTTCGTACATTGAGATCTATGTCTCAAAATTTGTTATAGATTTTCTGTAATCTTTTCAAAAACCTCAATTTTTCAATACTCCCCCCCATGGAATTTTTTATCATTTTTCAACCACCTTTGAAAATTATCTAGACATTTTTTTGTAGTTCGACTTTCAGAAGCTAATTTCGGCTCCATTTCTTTTAAAATTACTATTTTTTTCCAGAATAGTCAGAGATTGAAATATGACGATTTAAAATAAAAACCTTGACAAAATAAAAATCAATCTTCATCTCACAGTAAATAAAACAAGCCAATGAAATTCAGATGTGGAGATAGGTGGAGTTAGTTTTACATTTTTTGTTAAGATTGCACTAATCATCAACATACAATCCACTTTTTGTCCAATAAAATAAGCGCTCAAGAAGACGGGGTGGGTGGGCGGGCCACTTTGATTTCTTTTTTAAACGCAGATTCAACCGCTTGACAAAAAAACCAATCTTCATCCTACAGTAAATGAAATAAGTCAATCAAATATAAAAGTGTAGGTGGGTGGGGTTAGTTTTACATTTTTTGTTAAGATTCCAATAATCATCAATATAAAATTCACTTTTCGTCCAATAAACTCAGTGATCAAGATGAAAAGGGAGTGGGTGGGCGGGGCTAGTTTGAGTTTTTTAAGTGTTGATTCGACCGCTTCTTAAAATAAAATTAATTCTTCATTTCACAGTAAATAAAATAAGCCCATGAAATTCAAAACTGGGTGGGGTTGGTTTTACATTATTTTTGTTAAGATTCCACTAATTTTAATATAAAATTCATGTTTCATCAATTAACTGAGTGATCAAGGCCAAAACGGGGTGGGTGGGCGGGCCACTTTGAGTTTTTTTAAACACAGATTCGACTGCTTGACAGAAAAAATCAATCTTCATCTCACAGTAAATAAATAGAGCAATGAACGTCAAAAATGGAGGTGGGTGGGGTTGGTTTTACATTTTTTGTTAAGATTCCAATAATTATCAAAATAAAATCCACTTTTCGTCCAATAAACTAAGCGATCAAGATGAAAACAGGATGGATGGGCGGGGAAATTTTGGCATTTTAGGGCTGATTCGACCACTTAATAAAGTAAAATTTAATCGTCATTTCATGGTATATAAAATAAGCCAATGAAATCCAAAAGAGGAGATGGGTGGGGTTAGTTTTACAATTTTTGTTAAGATTCCACTAATTATCAACATAAAATCTACCTTTCGTCCAATAAACTCAGTCATCACTCAGTGATTAACATGAAAACAGTGTGGGTGGGCGGGATCACTTTGAGTTTTTTAGCGTTGATTTGACCATTTGATAAAATAAAATTCAATGTTGATCTCACAATAAATAAAATAAGCCAATAAAATCCAAAAGTAGTGGTGGGTGGGGCCGGTTTTTCATTATTTGTTAAGATTCCACTAATTATCAGTCTAAAATCCACTTTTCGTCTAATAAAATGACCGATCAAAAATAACACGGGGTGGGTGGGCGGGGTCACTTTTAATTTTTATAAGCCTTGATTCCACCACTTGACAAGATAAAATTCATTCATCAATTCGTCGAAAAATCCTGCCATTTTTCCAAAATAGCCAACTGAAGTGTGAGAAATTTTAGAATTTTAAAAAAATTGACGTTCAATCCCAAATTTTCAAAATTTTGGTCAGGGGGCATAAACACATTACATTTTTCAAATCTGTACGTCCAGATCTTAATTACAGAATTTTTATGGACTTTTAGACCACTTTTTTAAAAGCTCAATTTTTCAAAATGTGAAATTTTTGGTAACCTTTCAACCACCTTGGAAAATTAGTTAAAGACTTTTTTTAAAGAATCCAACCCCGAAGAGTTATTTTAGGCTTCATTTTTGGAGAATTTCTAGCATTTTTGCAGAATCACCAATTGAAATACATGTCAATTTTTAAGATTATTAAAAGTTTGGTTTTCAAGCCGAATATTTCAAGAATCTGGAACAAAATCTTTATATTTTTCGAATTAGCACGTTCAGGTCAACATCAAGAATTTTTTGTAGATTTTTTGTACGCCCCCCCTCCAGCCTCTCTATAAAATTTATAATTGTTCAACCGTTGAAAATTAACTAAAGGTATTTGAGTTTTTTAGTATTGATTCGACAACAGCAAAATAAAACAAGTCAAAGAAATTTAGATCTGGAGGTCGGTGAGCTTAATTTTACATTTTTTGTTAAGATTCCACTAATTATATCAATGTAAAATTGTTCGTCCAATAAAATGAGCGAACAAGATGAAAACAGGGAGGGTGGGTGGGGCCACTTTGATTTTTTTAGCGTTGATTCGACCACTTGATAAAATAACATTTAATCTTCATTTCCCAGTAAATAAAACAAGCCAATGAAATTCAAATGTGGAGGTAGATGGCGTAAGTTTTACACTTTTTGTTAAGATTCTACTAATTATCCATATAAAACCCACTTTTCGTCCAATAAAATGAGCGATCAAAAATAACACGGGGTGGGTAGGCGGGGACACTTTGAATTTTTATAAGCCTTGATTCCACCACTTGACAAAATAAAAATTCAATTTTCATCTCACGATAAATAAAATAAGGCCTTGAAATTCAAATATGGACGTGGGTGGGGTTAGATTTACATTTTTTGTTAAAATTCCACTAATAATCAAAATAAAATGCACTTTTCGTCCAATAAAATTAACGAACAAGAAGAAAACGGGGTTGGTGGGCGGGGCCAGTTTGAATTTTTTTAAGCCTTGATTCCACCACTTGACAAAATAAAAATCAGCCTTCATCTCATAGTAAATAAAATAACCCAATGAAATCTGAAAGTGGAGGTGGGTGGGGTTAGTTTAACATTTTTTATTAAGATTCCACTAATCATTAATATGCAATCCACTTTTCGTCCAATAAAATGAGTGATCAAGAATAAAACGAGGTGGGTGGGCGGGGCCACTTTGAATTTTTTTGAGCCTTGATTCGAACCACTTGACAAAATAAAAATTCAATTTTCATCTCACGATAAATAAAATAAGACCTTGAAATTCAAGTGTGGACGTGGGTGGGGTTAGATTTACATTTTTTGTTAAAATTCCACTAATAATCAATATAAAATGCACTTTTCGTCCTATAAAATTAACGAACAAGAAGAAAACGGGGTGGGTGGGCGGGCCCAGTTTGAATTTTTCTAAGCCTTGATTTCACCACTTGACAAAATAAAAATCAGCCTTCATCTCATAGTAAATAAAATAACCCAATGAAATCTGAAAGTGGAGGTGGGTGGGGATAGTTTTACATTTTTTATTAAGATTCCACTAATCATTAACATGCAATCCACTTTTCGTCCAATAAAATTAGCGATCAAGAAAAAAACGGGGTGGGTGGGCGGGGCCACTTTGAATTTTTTTGAGCCTTGATTCGATCAATTGACAAAATAAAATTCAATCTTTATCTCAAGGTAAATAAAATAAGCCAATGAAATTCAGATGTGGAGGAAGGTGGGGTTAGTTTTACATTTCTTGTGAAGTTTGTACTCATTATTAGTATAAAATCCGCTTTTCGTCCAATAAACTGAGTGATCAAGATGAAAACGGGGTGGATGGGGCTAGTTTGAGTTTTTTAGCGTTGATTCGACCACTTAATAAAATAAAATTCTATCTTCATTTCACGGTAAATAAAATAAGCCAATTAAATTCAAAAGTGGAGGTGGGTGGGGTTAGTTTTACATTTTTTGTTAAGATTCCACTAATTATCAATAAAAAATCCACTTTTTGTCGAATAAAATGAACGATCAAGAAGAAAACGGGATGAGTGCGAGGAGCCGCATTGATTTTTTTTGTCGCAGATTGAACTACTTGATAAAATAAAATTCACTCTTCATCTTACAGTAAATAAAATAAGCCAAGGAAATCCAAAAGTGGAGATGGGTGGGGTTAGTTTTACATTTTTGTTAAGATTCCACTAATTATTATTATAAATATAAAATCCACTTTTCGTCCAAAAAAATGGGCAATGAAGAAAAAAACGGGGTGGGAACTTTGAGTTTTTTAAGCCTTGATTCCACCACTTGACAAAATAAAATTCAGCCTTCATCCCATAGTAAATAAAGTAAGCCAACGAAATCCAAAAGTGAACGTGGGTGGAGTCAGTTTTACATTTTTTGTTAAGATTCATTTGCCAAAATAAGACTTATGTTAGCAAGTACTAGTACCGCCCACCCGCCTCTTATTCTCTCAGAAGATATGTCATTTGTCACAATTAGGCTTATCTTAGAAAGTACTAGCCCCGCCCACCCGCCCCCTATTATTTCAGAAGATATGTCATTTGCCAAAATCAGTCCTATCTTGCCAAGTACTAGCCCCGCCCACCCACCCCTATTCTCTCAGAAGATATGTCATCTGCCAAAATCAGTCTTATCTTACCAAGTACTAGCCCCGCCCACCCGCCCCCTGTTCTTTCAGAAGATATGTCATTTGCCAAAATCAGTCTTATCTTATCAAGTACTCGTCCCGCCCACCCGTTCTTTATTTTCTCAGAGGGTAGCACTTGCTAGTATTTGCTAAGATAAGATTGATTTTGGCAAATGCCATACCCTATGAGAAAATAGGGGCGGATGGGCGGGCTAGTACTTGGTAAGATAAGACTGATTTTGGAAAATCACATATCCTCTGAGAAAATAGAGGGCGGGTGGGCGGGGCTAGTCTTTGGTAAGATAAAACTGATTTTCGCAAATGAATTATCTTCTGAGAGAATATGGGGGGGAGGCTAGTACTTGGCAAGATAAAACTGATTTTGGCAAATGTCATATCCTCTGACAAAATCGAGGGCGGGTGGGCGGGGCTAGTATTTGTTAAGATAAAACTGATTTTGCCCCTATTAATCTTGTAAAAATTTGTGGAATTCAAAGATGTTAAATTGCAATTTTCCATAGTAACGAGTTAAATTTGCCAAAATCAGTAATATCGTGCCAAGTACAATCCACTTTTCGTCCAATAAAATCAGTGGTCAAGAAAATAACGGGGTGGGTGGGCGGGGCCACTTTGAATTTTTTTGACCCTTGATTCCGCCATTTGATAAAATAAAATTCAATGTTCATCTCAAGGTAAATAAGCCAATGAAATTTAGATGTGGAGGAAGGTGGGGTTAGTTTTACATTTCTTGTGAAGATTCCACCCATTATCAGTATAAAATCCACTTTTCGTCCAATAAACTGAGTGATCATGATGAAAACGGCGTGGGTGGGTGGGGCTAGTTTGAGTTTTTATAGCGTTAATTCGACCACTTAATAAAATAAAATTCAATCTTCATTTCACGGTAAATAAAATAAGCCAATGAAATCCAAAAGTGGAGATGGGTGGGGTTAATGTTACATTTTTTGTTAAGATTCCACTAATCATCAATCTAAAATCCACTTTTCGTCCAATAAAATGAGAGATCAAAAATAACACGGGGTGGGTGGGCGGGGTCACTTTGAATTTTTATAAGCCTTGATTCCACCACTTGACAAAATAAAATTCAGTTTTCATCCCATAGTAAATAAAGTAAGCCAACGAAATCCAAAAGTGAACGTGGATGGGGTCAGTTTTACATTTTTTGTTAAGATTCCACTAATCCTCAACATACAATCCACTTTTCGTCCAATAAAATGAGTAGTCAAGAATAAAACGGGGTGGGTTGGCGGGTCCACTTTGAATTTTTATAAGCCTTGATTCCACCAATTGACAAAATAAAATTCAATCTTCATCTCAAGATAAATAAAATAAGCCAATTAAATTCAGATGTGGAAGTGAGTGGGGTTAGTTTTACATTTTTTGTTAAAATTCCAATAATCTTGAAGATAAAATCCACTTTTCGTCCAATAAAATTAGCGATCAAGAAAAAACGCGGTGGGTGGGCACAATGAATTTTTTTAAGCCTTGATTCGACCACTTGACAAGATAAAATTCAATCTTCATCTCAAGGTAGATAAAATAAACCAATGAAATTCAAATGTGGAGATGAGTGGGGTTAGTTTTAGATTTTTGGTTAAGATTCTACTAATTATTATCGATATAAAATCCATTTTTCGTACAATAAACTCAGTGATCAAAATAATAACGGGGTGGGTGGGCGGGGCCACTTTGGTTCTTTTAACGTTGATTCGACCTCTTTATAAAATAATATTGAATCTTCATCTCACAGTAAATAAAATAAGCCAATGAAATCCAAAAGTGGAGGTGGTGGAGTTAGTTTTACATTTTTTGTTAAAATTCCAATAATCTTCAAGATAAAATCCACTTTTCGTCCAATAAAATTAGCGATCAAGAAAAAACGGGGTGGGTGGGCGGGGCCACTTTAAATTTTTTTAACCCTTCATTCCGCCAATTGACAAAATAAAATTCAATCTTCATCTCAAGATAAATAAAATAGTTTTACATTTTTTGTTAAGATTCTACTAATCCATTTTTCGTACAATAAACTCAGTGACCAAAATAAAAACGGGGTGGGTGGGCGGAGCCACTTTGGTTCTTTTAAGGTTGCTTCGACCACTTTTCCAATTTCATCTTCATTTCACAGTACGTAAAATATATAGGTGGATGGGGCTGATTTTTAATTTTTTGTTAAGATTCCACTAATTATCAATACAAATCGACTTTTCGTCCAATAAACTCAGCGATCAAGATAAAAACGGGGTGGGTGGATGGGGCCACTTTGAGTTTTTTTATCACTTAATAAAATAAAATTCAATCTTCATCTCATTGTCAATAAAACAACCCAATGAAATTCAAATGTGAAAGTAGGTGGACTTATTTTTATATTTTTTATTAAGATCCCACAAAAAATCAATGTAAAATCCATTTCCCGTCCAATAAAATAAGCGATCAAAAAGAAAACGGGGTGGGTGGGCGTGTAAATTTTTTTAATCGTAATTTCCACAACTAAAATGTGACGTATCGAAGAAAATTTAGAGACGGCTTCTTCAATTTATTGGGAGGGAGGAGATCAAATTTGATTGGAAAATGTTACACAATTTTGATTTTTCTTACAAACATCTGTGTATCAAAGAAAACTTAATACGGATTCATAAATCACAAGTGGAGGAGTATGTTACAAAACTTACATAAAATTTTTCACAAAAATCTTAACGTTTAGGGTAAAAACTGAACAATCGGTCCAGTAATTTCGGAGATTATATGTCTAATAAAAATCCGGACAGACGGACGGGCGGAAAATGGAGACCGAATTTTTCAAACTCGATGAAGAATGATAAAAAATAGAAACCCAGAACTGTAGAAAATGCTCTCAAAGCGCCAGTTTTTAAATGAAAACAGCTGCGCAGTCCCTATTTAGAACTAATGTGACGGTATTTATTCAAGTGATCAAAGAATACAACAGAAACGATAAACTTTAACACTGCTGGTGATAATTTGAAAAATCCGCAGTTTGCCAAACATATCTAGCTGAGTAATGCTTGTTGTAAATACACATTTAAAAAATCTACTATAATGGCAACTGAAATTGAAATGGATTTACTGACTTCAACTGTGCAAGCTCAAGGTAGGTTTTCAACTGTATGAAACGAACTGAAGTACGAATTAAATTTTCTTTAAATTATAATTTTAGTTACAGCATCTGACGACTCTTTGTCTGAACCACCCCAAGAAACATTCGATAATTCGACGAAAATCTTTGTAATAATCCTAATTGCCGTATTAGTGATTATTGATCTAGGCAGTTTTTTTACAATATTGTCACTGAAGGATATAGAACTTAGAGCCCATGCGAACTCATTCGTGGATAAAAATGTCAGCATTACCTCCCCTCAGTTGGTTCATCCTAAGATTTATTCTAGCGAGATTTCCAGCCGAAGATTTGATGAAGACAGGTATATTTGCTTTATTTCAATGTATTGTTGCGTTTTAACTGATTTTCTTTTAATTGCTTTGTAGGGTTGTACTAAAATTTGGTCGGCGATTGGGACTAGAATAAAATCTGCTGCAATTTTTGCGAGATTTTAAAACTTTCTTTATGGATATTTACAATGTAAGCAGACTGGCGTTAAAACTGAATGGTTCAACTAAAATCTAAAAAAATGTGTTAGGTAACAAATGAATAAAACGTGAAATGAGTAATGTTTCCTTCGTAAATATTTGGACTGTCAACGAATAAAATCCGGTAGTTTCGTGGAATGTGTTCTTTCAACCGATAACAATTTATTTAAGTGTCGAATGATTTAAAAGTTGAAACAAACTCCTAAGACAACATAATTTCGCAAAACATACATGACACGTAATTTTTCATAATTGTTTTATTACAAACAGCTGCTTTAGCTAAAATGTCGTAATTTCCAAACCATTTACGCTAGTGATAAAATCGTTATCAGTGCGTTCAAAAATGATTTATTAAAGATAATAATTAACCTGTAATAAGTCTACACAGTGACGCCATCGATCTGAGTGCAAGTTTCTCTTACATTTATTTGGCATTTGCATAAATGTAGTTTGTGTACTTAAATATAGATAGACAACAAACACCCACGGAATTTCGCCAAATACCAGACAATGTGAGTCTACAAAGTAAACATTAAAGAACTGATTTTTAAGTCCGAAGTAGGCATTGGCCGCATTTCAAAATTTTCTCGATATTGCAAAAAAACGAAAAAATAATTCGAATGACGTCTTTTGCTTGGTGAAATGGCCAGACTTAATGTGAGCTAACCCGATTTTGCCTGTCTAGTTGCTTTACACACTAGTGATGACGTCTGTGTTAACATATTACGTACTTTTCAATACGTGCCAGTGACCTCTCCCAATGATGAATGTTGCAACACCGATTAGAAAGCATCTACCTAGCCTACTAAAAACCATATTAACTTGTCGAAAGAAATTGTTCTTCTATCTTGAATAAGCTCTATTTTTACTTCCAAAGTATAAGCTAAGCACGAAAAAATGGTTCTCTGTCTGTCTGTCTGTCTGTCTGCGGTCTGTCCGGATTTTTAATAGATAGATAATCTCCGAAACTGCTGGACCGAGCGTTTCTAAATCAAATTTTATGTGTTATTTTATATTAATAAGGTCCAAAATTCACATTAATAAATGTTTTTCAGTTTTATAGAGTAACATACTCTTGCACTTGTGGTTTATGAATCGAGTTTTTTTTTTGGAAAAAATCAAAATTCTACAATTTTACGTCTTGTCAATTTTTCGACTTTTCTACGTTTCGATTTCTCGATTTTTCAAGTTTTAATTTGTCAGTTTTTCGATATTTCATTTTTGGGATTTTCAATTTTTCAATTCTTCGATTTCTCGATTTTAATTTCCAATATTTCAGTTTTACGTTTTTTAATTTTTTCGATTTTTCAATTTTTCGATTTATCAATATTTCCAGTTTCGGAACTTCTAAATTTTCAATTTTGAGATTCATGGTTTTTTCGACTTTCCTATTAAGTATTCGACTTTTCGATTTTTCGATCATTTGATTTTCCCAAATCTCGATTTTCGATGTCTCGGTTTCTAAACTTCTCCTCGATTTCTCGCTTTTTCGATTTTCAGATTTTCAATGCTTCAATTTTTTCCACTGGTCAATTTTTCGATTTTTTAGGTTTTTGATTTTTTGAGTTTTCCGCTTTTCGATTTCTCGATTTTTCAATTTTTCGATATTTTAGTTTTGGGATTTTTCAGTTTTCCTATTTTTTATTAACTGGATTAATCGCTTGATCAATTTTTCGATATATAAATATTGGAATTATCCATTTCTCGAATTCATGTTTTTTACTTTTTCAATTTATCATTCCTTAAATTTCAAATCTTTCGATTTTTCAGTTTTTCGGGGTTAAAATTTTTAGATCTTTTAGTTTTATCAATTTTTAAATTTCTCAATTTATCGAGATTTCGATGTGTCAGTTTTTCAATTTTTCGATTTTTCAAATTTTTTTATTTAAATTTTTCAATTTTTCACATTTTCATTTTTAGATTTGGGCTAAATCGATTTCTCAAGTTTGCAATTTTTCGACTTCCTGACTTTTCGATTTCTCGATCTTTGATGTTTCGAATTCTTGAACATATTTCAATTTTCCAGTTGTTCCATGTTTCGATTTTTCAATTTGTTACATTTCAGTTCTGGGATTTTTCAATTTTTCGATTTTTTTTTAATGTTAGATTTTTCGATTGCACGATTTCCCGTTTTTTTGATGTTTCAGTTTTTCTTTTTTTTTAATTTTACATTTTTCGACATTTTGGTTTGTCAATTTTAGAATTTTGAAGTATTCGATTTTCTATATTTCATTTTTTTACACGTCTTGAATTTTTCGATTTTTTAAATCCCCAATTTTGATTTTTCAGTTTTTCGACTTTCGATTTTTAGGTTTTCCAATTTTCAGATTTCAGATTTCTCGGATTTTCGTTTTTTCGAATGTTTGAATCATAGAAGTTTCAATTTTTCAATATTTCCGTAATTCGATTTTTCAAATTTTTTATTCCTCAAATTTCTTGATTTTTCACATTTTTGATTCTTCGAATTTTGGATTTTTCGATCTTCAATTCTTCGATTTTTTATTTTCTAATATTTCAATTTTTCAATTATTGAATTTTCCATTTTTTGACTTCTCAATTTTTTAATGTTTACAATTTTTCGGCTTTTGATATTTCGTTTTTTCAATATTTCGATTGTTTGATTATTCGATTTTTCGAAATCCCCAATTTCGAACTTTTGATTTTTCAGTTTTTCGATTTTCGAAATTTATATTTTCGAATTTTGGATTTTCTATTTCTCGGATTTTGGCTTTTTCGAATATTTGATTGATCCAAGTTTGGACTTCTCAATTTTTCAGTCCTTTGTTTTTCAAATTTTTTATTTTTAGAATTTTTGGTTTTCCGATTATTCAATTCTTCGATTTTTCAATTTTTCGATTTTTTTAATCGCAGGTTTTTCAGTTTCTAGTTTTTTTAATTTTTCGGTTTTTCGTTTTTTTAAATTTTACAATTTTCTTGAATTCTTCGATTTTTCAATTTTTTGATACTTTTTATTTTAGATTTTTAGATTTCTCAACTTCTCGTTTTTCTGATTGTTCAGTTTTTTGATTTTCAATTTTTCGTTTTTTTAAATTCTACATTTTTCGATTTTGCTATTTTAAATTTTCTAATATTACAATTTTTAGACTTTCAATATTTCGTCTTTTCAATATTTCGAGTCTTGGATTTTTCGATTCTTCGAAATTCCCATTTTCGAATTTTTGATTTTTCCGTTTTTCGATTTTCGAAATTCATATTTTCGAATTTTTGATTTTCCATTTCTCGGATTTTCGTTTTTTCGAATATTTGATTGATCCAAGTTTGGACTCAATCTTTCAGACCTTCGTTTTTCAATTTTTTTTTACAATTTTTGATTTTCCAATTCTTCAATTCTCCGATTTTACAATTTTTCAATTTTTATAATTTCAGATTTTTCAATTCCTCGTTTTTTTGATTTTTCGGTTTTTAGTTTTTTTAAATTTTACAATTTTCGATTTTATGATTTTTTTATATTTTAATATTTCAATTTTCCGATTTTTGAAATTTTCCATTTCTCATCTTCTGGGTGTTTCAATGTTTACAATCTTTCGACTTTTTGGTTTTCGATTTTAGAATTTTGGATTTTTAGATTTTCGATATTTCGTTTTTTTCAATATTTCGATTCTTGGATTTTTCAATTTTTCGAAATCCCCGTTTCTAATTTTTCAGTTTTTCGGCTTCCGATTTTTAGATTTTCCAATATATGATGAATATTTGATTCATCTAAATTTCGACTTTTTAGTTTTTCTTCCAAATCTTCGATTTTTCAAATTTTTGAATTCTCAAATTTTCGATTTTTCGAATTTTTGATTTTTCGATTATTGCATTCTTCGATTTTTTCGATTTTTCGATTTTTTTAAATTCAGATTTTTCGATTTCTCAATTTCTCGTTTTTTTAATTGTTCAGTTTTTGATTTGCAATTTTAAAATTTTAGATTTTTCAACTTTCGATATTTCATTTTTTCAATATTTCGATTCTTGGATTTCACGATTTCTCCGATTTTCGTTTTTTCGAATATTTGATTCATCGAAGTTTCGACTTTTGAGTCTTTAAATTCTTCGATTTTTCAAATTTTTGGATTTTCAAATTTTTGACTTTATGAATTTTCGATTTTTCAATTTTTCGACTTTTTTATTTTATATTTTTCGAATTCTCGGTTTCTTGCTTTTTTTTAATGTTTGGGTTTTTCAGTTTTTCATTTTTTTAACTTTTACATTTTTCGATTTTTTAATTTTCAAATATTTCAATTTTACAATTTTTTAATATTGCAATTGTTCGATTTTTGAAATTTTCCAATTTTCAACTTCTCTATTATTCAGTGTTTACAATTTTTCGAATTTTCGTTTTTTGGAGTTTAGAATTTTCGATTTTTCAACTTTCGATAGCTCGTTTTTTTATATTTCGAATGTTGGACTTATCGATTTTTGAAATTTTCCATTTCTCAACTTGTTTACAAGTTTCCGACTTTCCGATTTTTTGATTTTTTAATTTCAGATGCTTGGTTTTTGCTATATTTCGATTCTTGGATTTTTCGATTTTTCGAAATTACGAATTTGACTTTTTTGATTTTTTGGTTTTTCGATTTTCTATTTTTATACATATCCTCTAATTTTCTATTTCCCGATTTCTCGTATTTTTTTTTATCGAATATTTGATTCATCGAAGTTTCGACTTCTTAATTTTTCAATTCTTCGATTTTTCAAATTTTTGATTTTTCAAATTTTCGGCTTTTCGAATTTTCAATTTTTCGATTTTTTTATTTTAGATTTTATGATTTCCCAATGTCTCGGTTTTTTTAATTTTTCAATTTTCCAATTTTTCAGTTTTTAATTTTTTTAAATTTTACTCGACTTTTTGATTTTTTTTGGTTTTGCGATTTTCGACTATTATATACATATTTTGGAATTTTCGATTTTCCGATTACTCCTATTTTCGTATTTTAGAATATTTGATTCATCGCAGTATCGACTTGTCAATCCTACAATTCCTCGATTTTTTAAATTTTTTAATTTTCAAATTTTCGGCTTTTCGAATTTTCGATTTTGCGATTCTTCAATTCTTCGATTTGTCAATTTTTCGATTTTTTTTATTTTAGATTTTATGATTTCTCGACTTCTCGGTTTTTTAATATTCACAATTTTTTGACTTTTCGATTTTCCGATTTTAGAATTTTCGATTTTTCAACTTTCGATACTTCGTTTTTTCTATGTTTCGATGCTTGGATTTTTCGACTTTCCGAAATCCCGATTTTCGAATTAAGATTTTTCGTTTCAATTTTCAATTTTTAAATTTTCGAATTTTTGGTTTCTCGATTTCTCGGATTTTTTAGAATATTTGATTCAACAAGTTTCGACTTTTCGATCCCTCAATTCTTCGATTTCGAATTTTGGATTTTCGGAGTTTCAACTTTGGAATTTTTGGTTTCTCGATTTCTCGGAATTTAGTTTTTTCGCACATTTGATTATCGAAGTTTCGACTTTCAATTCTCCGATTTTTCAATTTTTTTATTTTCAAATTTTCGGCTTTTCGATTTTTCTGTTTTTCGTTCATTTGTCCATTTTAAAATTTTTTTATTTTTTTTAGTATTTCAATTTTTCGATTTTTGAGATTTTCCATTTCTCAACTTGTTTACAATTTTCCGACTTTCCGATTTTTCGATTTTCGGTGCTTGGTTTTTTCTATATTTCTATTCTTGGATTTGTCGATTTTTCAAAATTCTGAATTTCGACTTTTTGATTTTTTTACTTTTGCGATTTTCGACTGTTATATACATATTTTGGAATTTTTTATTTTCCGATTACTCCTATTTTCGTATTTTAGAATATTTGATTCATCGCAGTGTCGACATTTTAATCCTTCAATTCTTCGATTTTTAAAATTTTTGAATTTTCAAAATTTCGGCTTTTCGAATTTTCGATTTTGCGATTCTTCAATTCTTCGTTTTTTCTATGTTTCGATTCTTGGATTTTTCGACTTTCCGAAATCCCGATTTTCGAACTAAGATTTTTCGTTTTATCAATTTTAAATTTTCGAATTTTTGGTTTCTCGATTTCTCGGAATTTAGTTTTTTCGCACATTTGATTCATCGAAGTTTCGACTTTTCGATCTTTCAATCCTCCGATTTTTCAAATTTTTAATTTTCAAATTTTCGGCTTTTCCAAATTTCGATTTTTCAATTTTTCAATTTTTTTTATTTTAGATTTTATGACTTTTCGATTTCTCGTTTTTTTTATTTTTCAGTTTTTCATTTTTTAAAATTTTACATTTTCCGATTTTACGATTTTTTAAATTTTTATTTTAATATGGCATTTCTCGATTTCTCCGTTTTTCAATGTTTACAATTAAGATTTTTCGTTTTATCAGTTTCTGATTTTTTAATTTTCGAATGTTTGGTTTCTCGATTTCTCGGATTTTTGTTTATTCGAATATTTGATTCATCGAAGTTTTGACTTTTCGATTTTTCAAATTCTTCGATTTTTGTGAACTTTGGATTTTCGGTTCTTCAATTTTCCGATTTTTCAATTTTTGGAATTTTATTGATTTTCCAGTTTTTCGTCTATTTATATTTCGATTTTTCGATGTTTGACATTTTCCATCCCTCAACTTCTGGGTTTTTCATTGTTCACAATTTTACGACTTTCCGATCTTTCGATTTTTTTATTTCTCTGGTTTTTCGGTTTGTCCTTTATAGAGGTAAAAAACAAACATGGCAAAACCAAATTTTAGAATTTTTCAAAAAAGTGGAATTTATATATTTTTTACCAATATTTTTTACCGAAAACTGTTATAAAGAATTTTATTTACAACTTTTTACTGTTTAGTTACATAAACTTTGCTAATCTTATTAGGTCGGTAAAAACTATTTTCCAATTTCAATAATTGCCAAGCGCCACATTTATGATTAATATTGCTCTGATTATTAGTAAATAGCTTTATCATTTTTTCACAAAATATGGGTGACATTGATAACACAACATACATTTAACTCCAAAGAAATGTTCTTCCCCAAGAGAAATTAAACGAAAACAAAAATTTTCAAACAAAATAGAGGCGATTTTACAAATTCCAAAAAAAATTAAGCATAAAACGTTTCATAACAGGTTTGAATGTGACCATTTCGTTTTATTTAACAATAATTAATATAAACAGAACAGCCTTGAAAACAGTCGAAATTTTCCATCATATTTACAAAAAAAAACTAATTTAGCCAATAAGAAACACAACAAGCGCCAGCAACGAAACACCAACAAACCAAACCGAATATTCCCATTTCATTTCCACGAAATGTTTCAAATATCCGATTTACAAATACTTCCATAATAAATAATTTTTTACAAACCGCGTTCGTCGCGATAATTTCAGTTCACCATACATCCGCACAATTCAATGACCGTTGAATAAATTGAACGTGAATCACAACAACATAATTTTACGGGGATTTTCTGAAATGATAGTTAACATCATATAAATCTGTAACCGAAGCGAGCGACTTTAGTCTCTCGTGGCGTAGTCCCACCACACTATTATGCTACCAGATAAAACAAAGCTATCAAAATCAACTGAGAAAAGTACGTAAGTGACAAATATCTTCTCCATTACACAATCATTTTTATTAATTTTTTTGCAGTTGTCGACGGTGGAAAATCATACAAAAAATCGTCCATTTTGTTTGACAGCGGAAATTGCGTTCTAGTGTTCATCGTTTCACTCACGATGTCCATAGCAATAGCGTTTGCTTTAATGCTGACCGTTTTTCATGCTACTAGTGCTACCGAGGACCCTCTAGATGTCTTCGACAACGCTAATTCTATAGAAGAGCTTCTGCCTCCTCACGAGTTCGTCCACAAGGAAACATGGGGTGGAAAACTGCCTTCGCACGTCCAAAATCTCCAACACCCTCTAGATCTAGTGATTATAGCCCACACAGCCACCAGTGTTTGCACAACTTTGACTGAGTGTTCCAAACTAGTGAAAGCCATACAAAATTACCACTTTCGTCTAAAAAAATCTGACATTGGTTACAACTTCTTGATCGGTGGTGATGGAAATATCTACGAAGGACGGGGTTGGGATGCCGCTAACAGTGTCAAAGATAAGTCAATTAGTGTCAGTTTCATTGGAAATTTCTTGTATGACCACTTGACCGAAAACATGGTTGATGCTCTCCAAGAACTGTTAATAGAAGGTGTCGAACTTGGAAAATTGAAAGAAGATTACAAAATCGTGTGCCATAATCAAACCATCGCAACGCTGAGTCCAGGACAAAACGTTTACGACGTGGTGAAGACCTGGAAGCACTTTAACCCCGAACGACTACGCTAAATTTGGTTTTTGGTTCCTTGATTCAGTATTTTGAGTTTCTAGTGTGATTATTTTCTAAATAAATGGAAAAGAAAAATATATCGAAATTATTTCAGTGTGATTTTTATCAAAGAAATAGATTGTTTGTATACGGTGGTGGGAAAATAAATGTTTATTGGGATTAATGTGATGAGTTTATTATGGAGCGGCTATGTTTATGTGCACAGAACAAACTTTTCCTTTTTGTTCATTGTAGACAGTCGATGCGGATTTTGCGGTTGTTCTAAGAAACGACAAATTTTATAATTTTGTGTTTGCTTTTTTAACAACATTACCTTATTAAACACTCGCTTCACCACCAGTGAAAGGATTTAACTCAAATACACACTCGAACAAAATTAACTCGTCGAACAAGTTTTCTCATTAACAGATTGTATTGACGTCCGAGTTCATGACAGTGGCGTTTCTTATTTTCTTAAATAAAGATCGACTTATTGTCAGGTATTCTTGGAAAAACCGTCACATTAAAATCGATATTGATTAGAAATTTTTCCTTAAGCTTAATGGATGTGAAACGTCTATTACTTAACAAAAGTTATTAACTGATAATGATCTCATTCCGAACCTCAGACCCCAAGCAATACTAAGTTGTGTCTTCTGTGAAAAAATATGACTTATTTGTATATTTAAAGGCACAACACAAACACAACTACGTAAACATGATTCTACAATTTTTCAACACTGTTAATGTTATAAAACTAATATTTACTGAGAGTAAATAAACATCACAATCAGTATCAGGTTGATTGATCGTGTTCCTCAAAACAAAGAGTGTCAGTGCAGCTGTCCTATAATCAGTAGACATAAAATACATAAAAATCTGCAGTTAGAGTAAATACATTTAAAATTGTTACGTAATTACTTAATTGTTATTACAAACATTTCTGCACACCTAATAATAAATTCCCTGGAAAGATATCTTTATAGCTTTACGCGCATGCAAAATCCTATTTATTTTATGTAACAATACACAGAGAATATGCTGCAGTTTTGTACACAGCAATGTTTATCCAACAGTTGAGGTAACGTCACTGTAAATGTGGTACCAAAGTGGCGCCTCTGGCTGTGTAAATAATCCAGATGGCAATATGGTAGTTTAGGGGGAGAGTCTTATAGGGAAAGTTTGAGCTCATCTTAGAAATCGGCCTCCAAAAATTTGCAAAGAATTCAGTGTGATCCCGGTTTTCGTCTGTCTGTCCGTCCGTCTGTCTGTCTGTCGTCGATTTAGAAATTCTCTCGTGTATCCATTTTAGAAAATCTGGAAGACCGAGAAGTCTTGAAAATTTCAGAAAATGTTGACTTTGAATATTTTCGCATATCTGGAGAATGAACAAATGAAAAAATTCGAAAATTTTAATATCGGAAGATTTAAAAGTTTACACGATTCTAAATATTTTCAAAAGTTTCAACGATTTCGAATTTCAAAAAATTCCTAAGATTCCAAAGTTACAAAGATGCAAAAAGTTACAAAAGTTTTACAAATTGTAACGATTCTGAAGACCCGGACATTCTAAAGACCTTAAAGATCCTATAAATTCGAACGATGTAGAAATTCCAAATTGTAAATAAACTGAATTTCTAAGATCATAAATATAAGACAGATCCAATAAAATTCTGCAGATTTTAAAGATTCTGAGGGTCCTAAGGATCCTAGAAAGTCCGGAAAACTTTGAAGGTCCTTGAAATTCTAAATTTTCAATAATTCTGAAACGTCCAAAATGTCCAAATATTTTAAAGACTCCAGACATTCTAAAGACCTTAAAGATCCTATTAATTAGAAAGATTAGAGAAATTCTAAACTGTAAATAAGCTGATGTTCTAAGACTCTAAATAGAGGAAAGCTCCAACAAAAGCCTACAAATTTTAAAGATCCTGAGAGTTCTAAAAATTGTGGAAATTCTAGGGGGTTTTCAGATTCTGAAAATTTTAAGCTTCTAATAATTCTAAGGTGTCCAAAATATCCAATGATTCTAAAAACTCCAGATATTTTAAAGACCTTCAAGATCCTATAAGTTAGGAAGATTAGAAAAAAATTAATTGTAAACAAACCAAAGTTCTAAGGATCTAAATATAAAAAAGATCCAACAAAATCCTAAAAATTTAAAGATCCTGAGTATCCTAGAGATCAGGGAAATTATAAACTTCTAACAATTCTTTCCAGACATTCGAAAGACCTTAAAATTCGTATTAATTAGAAAGATTAGAGAAATTCTAAATTGTAAATAAACTGAACTTCTAAGATCCTAAATACAAGAAAGATCTAACGAAAAACTACAAATTTTAAATTAATGTTCGTGAGAATCCTAAAGATTCCAGAAATTCTAGACAACCTTAAAGATCATGGAAATTCAAAACTTCTAACAATTCTCACGTTTCCAAAATAATCAATAATTCTAGCGACTCCACAGATTCGAAAGACTTTAAAGATCCTATTAATTAGAAATAATAGAGAAATTCCAAATTGTAAATAAAGTGAAGTTCTAAGATTCTAAATATAAGAAAGATCCAAGAAAATACTAACAATTTTAAAGATCCTGAGTATCCTAAAGATTCTAGAAATTCTAGACAGCCTTAAAGATCCTGGAAATTTTAAACTTCTAACCATTCTAAAGTTTCTACAATGGTCAATGATTTTAAAGACTCTAAACATTCGAAAGAAATTAAAGATCCTATTAATTACAAATATTAGAGATTTCCAAGAAGAGAAGTTCTACGATTATAAATAGAAGAAAAGTCCAACAAAATCTTTAAAAATTTAAAGATCCTGAGAGTCTTAAAGACACTAGAAATTCTAAACTTTCGAAAGTGTCCGAAATGACCAATGATTGCAAAGATTCCAAACATTTAAAGACCTTAAAGAACCTATAAATTAGATTAGAGAAATTCCAAATTTTAAATAAACTGAAGCTCTAAGATTTTTTATATAGATCCAACAACAAAATTTTTCCTGGAAATTCTGAGGATTTTCAAGATCCCGAAAATTCTAAACTTCTAATAATTCTAAAGTGTCCGAATATGCAATGATTATAAAGACTCCAGACATTCTAAAGACATTAAAGATTCTATAAATTAGAAAGATTAGAGAAACTGTAAATAAACTGGAATTCTAAGATTCTAAATATAAGAAAAACCCAACAAAAGCCTACAAATTTTAAATAACCTGAGAATCCTAAAGATCCTAGAAATTATAGACAGCCTTCAAGATCCTGGAAATTTGAAACTTCTAACAATTCTTAAGTTTCAAAAATGACCAATGATTGTAGAGATTCCAAACATTTGAAAAACCTTAAAGATTCTATTAATTACGATTAGAGAAAGTCCAAATTGTAAATAAACTGAAGTTTTTTTCAATATAAAAAAGATCCAACAAAATTATAAAAATTTTAAAGATCTTGAGAGTTCTAAAAATTGTGGAAATTCTAGAGGGCCTTTCAGATTCTGAAAATTTTAAATTTCTAATGATTCTAAAGTCTCCAAAATATTCAATGATTCTAAAAACTCCAGATATTCTAAAGACCTTAAAGATCCTATAAATTAGAAAGATTAGAAAAAGTGTAAATTGTAAATATATTAAAGTTCTAAGAATCAAAACATAAGATCCAACAAAATACAAAAATTTTAAAGAACCTGATGATCTAGAGATTCTAGAGACTTAGATTTCTAATAATTCTAAAATGTCTAAAATAACCAATGATTCTATAGATTCCAGACACTCGAAAAAACCTTATAGATCCTATTAATAAGAAAGATTATAGAAATTCCAAAGAGTAAATAAACTGAAGTTCGAAGATCACAAATATAAGAAAAATCCAACAAAATCCTAAATTTTTTAAAGATTCTGAGAATCCTAAAGATTCCATAAATTCTAAACAGCGTTAAAAGTCCTGGAAATCCTAAACTTCTAACAATTCTAAACTTTCCAAAATAACCAATAATTTTAAATACCCCAGATATTCGAAAGAACTTAAAGATCGTATTAATTAGAAAAATTAAAGAAATTCCAAATTTTAAATAACCTGAAGTTCTAAGTTTATAAGCAAAAAAATCCTAAAAAATTTAAAGATCGTAGAAATTCTAAACTTTCTCAAGTGTTCAAAATGTCAAAGATTCCAGACATTCTAAAGATTTAAAAAACCTATAAATTAGAAAGATTAAAGAATTTTCAAAATTTAAAAAAACTAAATTCTAAAATTTTGTATACAGATCCAACAATATCATAAAATTTTTAAAGTTTCTGAGAGTCCTAAAGATTCTAAAAATTTTGAACGACTTTCAAGATCTTGAAAATCCTAATCTTCTAACAATTCTCAAGTGCCCAGTGATTGTAAAGACTCCAGACATTCTAAATATTTTAAAGATATCATAAATTTGAATGATTAGAGAAACTGTAATCAAACTGGAGTTCTAAGATTTAAAATATAAGAAAGATCCAACGAAATCCTAAAAAATTTAAAGATCCTGAAAGTCCTAAAGATCTTAGAAATTCTAAACTTTCTAAAGTGTTCAAAATCTCCAATGATTTCAAAGAATCCAGACATTCTAAAGGCCTTAAAGAACCTGTAAATTAGAAAGACTAGAGAAATTCAATTTTTTTTTATACCTGAAAAATGATAACTTTTTTAAAGATATTGAGAGTCCTAAAGATTCTAAAAATTCTGGAGGACTTTCAAGATTCTGAAAATTCTTAACTTCTAATACTTAATTCTGAAGTGTCCAAATGTCCAGTGATCATAAAGACTCCAGGTATTCTAAATAGCTTAAAAATTCTATAAAGTTTGAAAGATTAGAGAAACTGGAGATAAACTGGAGTTCTAAGATACTAAATATACGAAAGATCCAACAAAAGCTTTCAAGATCCTGGAAATTCTAAACTTCTAATCATTCTAACATGTTTAAAGCGTCCAATGATTGTAAGGATAAATACCTAAAAAATCCTGTCGGTTAAAAAGAAATTTCAATAAATACGCTTATTGCAAATTCTAAACTTCTAAGAAATCAATAATTCTAAAGTTTCCAGACATTTTAAAGATCTTAATGATCCTATAAATTTGAAAGAGTACAAAAAAACTATTTAAATAAACTGAAGTTCTAAGATTTTACATATAGATCCAACAAAATCATACAA